CCTTTGCCTTCTTTTTCTTCACTCCTCCTTGCGGCTTAGGAGTGGGTGACTTCTTCTCCTTCCCTTTGCCTTTGCCTTGCGGCTTAGCCTTGGAAGAGGATGGCTTGTTGTAGGCTACTGCAGCAGTCCCTACAATGTTCTCTTTCTTCATAGTCTTCTCAGCGGTTACTAACATGTTTAGTAACTCAGAGAGAGTGTTATCCATCTTGTTCATATTGTAGTTCATAACGAACTGCGAGAACGAGTCAGAAAGAGAAGCCAAGATGAAGTCCTGGGCCAATTCCCCGTCAAGTGGAGTCCCTAGGTTCTCCAATTGTTCAAAGAGTCCAATCATCTTCAGCACATGTTGATGCACTGGAGCTCCCTTGACCATCTTGGTCTTCACAAGTTCACTGATAGTGCTAAAGCGACGGTTGCGCGTCCTTTCACCATATAACTCCGTAAGATGGAGTATTATGGAAGATGCACTGTCCATGCCCTCGTGCTATCTTTGTAGCTCCTCATTCATGGAAGCCAACAGATAGTACTTGGCTTGTGTATCATCCTTAACGTGCTTGTCATACTTAGCACGTTCATCCTCAGTGGCCTCAGGGCTAAGGGATATGTGAGGTGGAGCCTTGTCTAGTACGTAAACAATCTTCTCCAAGGTTAAGAGAATCTTGACATTACGATACCATGATGGGAAATTGTGCCCCTCTAGGCAATGTTTGTCGAGTATTTTCGCGAGTGTGCTTCCAACCATATCTAAATACATAAACAATAAAAATAATTAGTTTGATTGTTGATTAAGTCAAACAATTCGGGTCTTTAAACCGATTGACACCACCCACCATTTTTGACAAATTCCATATCCCTCAAGATGGAATCCGGGAGATTTCAAAGAAAGCTCCTAGCGGGTTACGGGAGGCTCACTATTACCAAGCCCACCTCACGATGATACGATGTCGGCTAGCAAAAATAATAATGAGAGGGTACACTTACCCATTCACAACAACCTCTTGCGATTACCCATCTATTTGGCCTCTAGAGAACAATGCCTCACGATGATACAATGTTGGCACCATTTCTCTTAGTTAGGTTTCGACCCACCATGCCGGTTTAGATAGGGGTTCAAGTATGACCTCACGATGATACGATGTTGGCCACACTCGTTGCCTACCTTCACCTCATCAAATGTTTATATAGACTCCTCCTAAGTATAAGCATGCACTTTACACTTCCCCATGATAGGGTGAAGGCAGTGTACAAGTCATAAACGATTGGAGCCTACCATGGTGGAAGGCCATGAAGAAGTGTTCAATAGCACCTCTCCGCTTTCAACTTAAAATTGTTTGTTGGTTGAGGGATTTTAAGGTCTCATCATTTTTTATTTATTTAATCACATTCAAATAAATTGTGTCCTATTATAACTACTAGTCCAAAGTTAATGAAATTAGTAGCATATGATATCCCAACTATTTGTTTTCATAAAACAATCAATATCAAAACATTTTTCAAAATATTGGAGATATATATAACTACTAATTATATTCATTATACTTTAGTAGCGTATGATACTCCCACTATTTGTTTTGAGAAAAACAAATCAATATCAAAAACGAATTTTTCAAATATTGGAAGTAACTACTACTACTACGGTTTTTGCATTCCTTTGAAATTGGACTTTATAGTTATCTTAGGCTCTTGGATGACCATGGACTTATTGGGTTATTGCAACAACGAGCCAACATTGTTGAATAAGAACTCGGGGATGTTGTGTCATTTTAATTACGTGCTTTTCAATCCAATTAAAACAATTTTTCATTGAGCCATTAGAAATGAAAGACAATCATTCATTGCTAATTAGGGCGTTGGACCCATTTAATCTTTAATCTCATGTCAAAACCCTCTTTTAATTATGTCTCCTTACCAATAGTTAAAGAAACTCTAGTCTAGTACTAGAGGGAATCAACCAATTAAAAGAGATTAAGAAGTAATAAGAATTACAAACCAATTTGTACAAATTCCTACAAATTACACATACTAAGAGGGAGAGAAAGATTAATGTCTATCATGACAAGGTCCAATTGAAATAGTAATTAAAACACATTCCCAAGGTTCAAACAATTTGAGTTTAGCGCCCTTTCTCATAGCTCAATTATCATTTAAGGCATAAGTCCATAGTCAACCATTTTCTAACTACTTAATCACATTAAATAATTAATTGGAATGCAACATAAACAATTAGATTTAGTGCATATGGGCATAATAGTATTATGAGTTTAAACAACTAACAAAATTAAAATCAAATATTTTAACTTTCTAGTTAGTAGGGGCCTAAATGCAAATACAAAAAGTTAGGGGTCAAACCGTAAATACTTGAAAGTAAAACAACTTTTTCAAATTACAAAATAGCCCCAACAAGTGGGAAATCCATTAGGGTGGCCGGCCACATTAAGAGGGATGGGAGGTCTCACCCATATTGCATTAAATCAACATAAAGTAGAAAAATCCAAATTTTACTTGTCACTTGACTTAGGCTTTAAGGACTTTAGAGTAATGGTGATGGAAATTCACCTAGTCAAGTCTAGGGTTTAATAAATTTTGGGAAAGCTATGGATGGTAAGTATACCATCCAAAACCATAAAACAATTTATGAACTTTAAATAAAACCATTTTCACCAAAAACAAAACCATGAACACCAAGAACAAAACCATGAACACAATTTCAAGATTTGTACATTCTTGGTGATTTGTCAAACCCAAAGCATAAGTGACAAGCTCTCTACTTTCTAGCTTCAAAGTGTGTGTCTGTGATTTAAAATAAAACACAAACACAAACCAAAATATCCCCTTTATGCTGTGCCCCCTTTTTGGAACAAAACCCCAAAATTTTGTTCTAAACTCAATCTTCATTCATGTATCCAAAACACTTTTGCATACATATCTTTTTCAACTATTGATTCATATTTTTCAACATTTGAAAAACAAAAGATAAACATACTTTGAATGAAGCAATAACATGTCATACATAAAATTAAAACCCATATGCATAAAATCCAAAAGGACACATCAAACATAAACCTTTGGCTCTGATACCACTTGAAGGGAAATTGTGAGATTTCATGTGGGATTTCCAGTGACTAGCATGCATATACAATTCAAAATTTATATACGAAAGCAACGGAAGCATGTTATCACATAATATCAAAGCTATAGTCATGCAAATCCCCTTCAAGATGCATAGGTTTATATAAGATGCATCAAAAACAATTTATTGAAGAACAAAGTGTAGGAATAGTTTTGTACCTCTTGATCTAGACTTTAGACCAAGGATGGACCACCTCCAAGCCCTTTGTTGTTGGAACTCCTTGAGCCTAGCCTCCCTCCTTGCCTCCTCCACTTTGTTAGAATGAATGCTCCTTGGTTCTCCTTAAGTCTCCAAAGTTGAAGACCTCTAAAGATCCTCACCCACTAGAGTAGTGAGAAGGATGAAGGAATAACCAAAACGGTGAGAAGATGATTAGGTAAACCCCCCCTTTGGTGGCCGGCCCTTTGAGTGTTGAGAGAGATATTTCTTTTTCTCTTTTGTTGTTTTAACATTTCAAAAAACCCTTATGAAACTTTGTGCTATAAAGTTCCTTTTATAACCAAAAAGAAACAAGTCAACATTTGACTCTCTCTCTCCCACCTTTGGCCATCCCCTTTAGTGTTGTTTGGGCTTTGGGCTTTTATTATTTGAAGTCATCCTATGCTTGAATAAAAGTCCAATGGGTTTAGGCCCAATGGGCCCAATTAGACCCGAACTTTTCTTTAAGCCCAAAACGATCGTTTATCGCTTTTATGATTTCTTTAGACATTCTAATTAATCACAACACTTAATTAATCCAATTAATTATTTCCATCATCCATTAGTTACTCACTACAAGAGTGTATTGGTGAACAATCATTTTAGGTTCTAATTAGCAAGGCAGTGAGGTGATTGGCACCAATCCAATTGATTATTTTTAATCCAATCACTTAGTGAATTAAAACTTACTTTTAATTCACCTTCTTCTTTGACGACTACATTTAATCATCTAGAAGAACTCACAAGTCATGAGTGACATCTAACCATATATCATGGCTACCCAAGTTAATGTAGAATTTGTTCGGAGAACCTATTCAGTTGGAATTAAAATGTAATTCAATCATTCTCTAAAACAATACTCTCAATCACATTACTAGGGTATGGATATATTATGTCAAACCCCTAATGTGATTATTCCTTCTTATATGATTCATTTGAGTCGTATAGGAACGCTTTCCTTTATTACGCTCAATACTTCGGCCGAAGATTCCTTAATCATATCTTAGAGTATTCATCCTCTCTTAACGAGGATTAAAGATTCCTTGTTGCGCATTCACTTGCCTCCATGACTAAGTAGCTTAACCCCAACTATGCCGTGGACACCCGCGGATGGAGTGACTTTGAAATAATCAAAGATCAAGTACCTAACCACAAGACAACTATGATACCTCATGTCAAAAGGCTACTTACATTATTCCAACCATTAGAGTTACTTGCTTGACATGTGAGTAGACCTCCATGCAAGTACTCTTGTTCGATTGTGTTCAGTGAACTCATTCCCTTAATGAGCACCTACATACCTGTCTTAGTGTCACTACACGAATGGGACGAGACTTTCCATCCTTCCAATTGAAGCGGACATAGTATGTACCGGTCTATGCATTGTCAGTATCCCTCCGACAATCCTATGACCAGGAACCTTTTGGACATGATGGTTATGTGAAGAAGGTCTCTGTAGTCTAACATCATTAGATTACTTCTTCCATCAATCCATTGTCCATGGATTCACTATTTAGGACATATATCGTGTGTTGAGATAGTCCTAATTAGTATCTTCGCCATTTGATGTACAAGAATCATCTATACATCCATTCATTGTCCTGAAAGGTTTCTTCCAAAGATTGACTTTCAGGGCATATTTCCAACAATACGAGTGTGCATAATTAATTACTCGTTGTGGTGTTCCTGCCAGGGAAGCTGAAGTCCGGTAAAAGGCGATGAGTGACGCATTAGCGGTGGTGGCATCGGAGACATCGATGAAAGGCAAGAAGGTGTCACAAATGGTAGTGAGTGACTCCATTTCACGGGAGGAGAGAGAGTTTGGGTACACATTTATCTCTCCTCCTAGACTATCAGAACTCCAAGCTCCTCAGTAGCTATTGCATGTTCTTGCTGTATTCCATTGATCTCCGACTGCGAGAAGCTACCAGAATCTCTAGCACCATTAATTTGCTCCATAGCTTTCATACAAGAGATTGAGGGAGAAAGAAAGAGCTTCCGAGAAAGAGAGCGCGCAGAGCATGAGTTACCAAATTTTGACAATAAGCAGTGAGTGTGTGTGGGGTCAAAAATTGATGCAGTCAGCAAAACTAGCAAAAACCGAAAGGCATTCAGAATGAAAATAACGCATCATAACCTACCCTTTAATTCACTCACTGTAACTACCATGCATGGCCACATTAATTGCAGGTTTCTCTTTTTAATTTTTATTTTCGGTTTTGAAAAATCGTCAATTAGTCACTTAAACACTTCGTATGTTTCTGCTTCAGTGGAGTGGCTCTATTTGTTAAACATAAAGCGTTCATGCATTGGGCAATTCAGAGAGTGTTTCCTGCTAAGTCGTCCTTATGAGGTCTTTGATGTATACATGCATGTGGTTGGGCGGTGTCAATCGGAGCCACAATTTTATAGTAACGGAGTCATAATTTCGGTTAAAATGACTTCATCAGACCAATTTGTCGAGCTTCTAGTGAGAATCTGCCAAGGTAATCAGCCCACGTTTTGTTGTTTCTGTCGAGGCATATTGAGTGTGCTATTTCATCAAACACTTGTCGCGAACCATACAGTTTGCACGCAAGAAATAGAAAAAGAAAGAAGACAATCTATTGATCATCACAATTTTTTTTCTGCAGAATTATTGCCTATTAGTGGTGTGGAATTGGCTTATCAACATTAATTGAATTTACGGCTTAATTTTTTTCATTGTATTGCATAACTAAGAAATATATACAAAATACAATCCTTGTTCTATAAGGAAATAATAAACAATAAAGGACACACATATATCCTTCCTAATAAAGGATTCTTAATATTTAAAATATATTTACATACCCTTTTTACTTACTACTCACGGCAACACTCGCCTTCAAGTTGGAGCATAGATATCACACATGCCCAACTTGACAAGTAAGTCACCAAAAGATCTACTACACATAGCATGAGTGAGGATATCCGCAAGCTGCTCTTCCGAGTTCACAAACGGTATTGACACAATCTTCTTGTGAAGCTTTTCCTTAATAAAATGATGATCAACCTCCACATGCTTTGTTCTGTCATGTTGTACCAGGTTCTCTGCAATCTCCCATGCGGATTTATTATCACAATACAAGCTTATGGCCTCATTTGCTTTAAAACCTAGATCCCAAAGTAACTTACATAACCAAAGAACTTCATATACTCCATGCGCCATACCTCTGAATTTGGCCTCAGCTGAAGACCTTGACACCACATTTTTCTTCGTGCTCCTCCAAGTAATTAGATTTCTGCCAACAAACGTAAAGTATCCAGAAGTAAAGTGTCTATCAGTCACATCACATGCCCAATCAGCATCAGTAAATCCCTCTATCCTCATATGACTGGAATTTTTATACAAAATTCCTTTTCCCAAAGCCGACTTCAAATAAGCTAAAATCCACATAACAACTGTCATATGATCCACACTTGGTGAGTGCATAAACTGACTCACCACACTTACTGCATAGACTATATCTGGACGGGTATGAGCTAAATAAATTAGTCTTCCTACTAGCCTCTAATATCTGCCTTTATCTACTAGTTCTTGATCCGGATAAATTCCCATGTAATGTTTCTTCACAATGGGAGTATCCACGGGTTTACACCCAAGCATACCAGTTTCCTTCAATAAATCCAGAACATATTTTCGTTGAGACAAGAAAATACCTTTGGATGAACGAGCAACTTCAACTCCAAGAAAAAACTTCAAGTCTCCTAAACTCTTCATCTCAAACTCAGCAGAAAGGTTCTTCTCCAGTTTGACAATTTCATCTGAATCATCACCTGTTATTATCATATCATCTACATAAATAATCAAGGTCGTTACTTTACCGTTTCTCCACTTCACAAATAAAGTATGACCAGAATGACTATGATAATACCCATTCTTTCTCATGGCCTGAGTGAACCTCCCAAACCATGCACGAGGTGACTGTTTAAGCCAATAAAGTGACTTTTGTAATTGGCACTCTCCCATTTTTTCTCCGTTACTATACCCTGGAGGGAAATCCATATACACTTCTTCCTCTAGATGTCCATGAAGAAATGATTTTTTACATCAAACTGTTTCAGTGGCCAATTCAAATTTGCAGCTAATGAGATAATGACTTGTACCGTATTCATCTTAGCCACAAGAGAGAAAGTTTCCTGATAATTAACTCCGTATGTTTGAGTATACCTTTTCGCCACCAACCTTGCTTTATACCTGTCGAGTGATCCGTCAGCCTTGTATTTAACTGTAAAAACCCATCGGCACCCAACTGGTTTTTTCCTTTCGGCAACTCAACTACTTCCCATGTATTATTTTTCTGCAATGCCCTCATCTCTTCATCCATTGCTTCGGTCCATTCTCGACTCTTCAAAGTGTCTTCTACTCGAGTTGGTACTTGAATTGAATCCACATTATTCACCCAAGCTTGATGTTCAGATGAAAGGTTTTTACAGGACACATAATTGGTTATAGGATACTTCACTTTTCCCTCTGGAGAGAACCTATTAAGAGGTACACCATGATTTTACCTTGGTGGCAATTTATATGTACTTATAACATCATTAGGTACATGAGTATCCCTAGTGCTTACCTCAGGGATATCTAGAGAATATGTATTGGACAACGGCACTGTTGAGCTAAAGAGAGGGGAGGAAGCTTCGGCAATAGTGGGTTGACCATCACTGCACTCCTCTTTGGCAGCACTGACACATGGACTGGCAGCCTCTTCTTCGGTGAGAAGCTGCAGACCACTTGTAGCAGGTTCAGTGAGAAGCTGCTGACCACTCGCAACAGGTTTTGCAGAAGGAGATCGAGCATCAACTACATTACTCGGCATAGCAGCACCGTGCACTCCTCCTGAAACCATCACCTCTTATACATACAACCATTCAAAATCACCATCAAGATCACAACTAGAACCCTCCCCCTTGTGATTGAAGGGTGGTGATGTGGGAGCATAAATATATTTGGACTCAGATAAAGTCACATCCATGGTTATATATATGTGGCAAGTTACAGGGTGGTAACACTTGTAACCAGTCTGGTAGGATACAAAACCCACAAAGACACACCGAATAGCACAAGGATCCAATTTACTATGATGAATCTTGTGAATATGAACATAAGAAACACATCCAAACATTTGAGGAGTGAGAGTATTGGTACAAACAACTGGAACATGTTCCGTCAACACTTGGAGTGGAGTACAAAATTCTACAACCCGGGATGACATGCAATTTATAACATACACGGCATAAGTGATGGCATCTGGCCAAAAACTCTTGGGCACGGACCCACCAATAAGCAATGCAAGAGCAGTTTCAAAACTATGACTGTTTTTTCTCTCAGCTACCCCATTTTGTTGTGGGGTGTACAAACATGTTGTCTCATGAATAATTCCTTGGTCACGGAAAAAATTAGATGACTCAGAGTTAACATATTCTCCCCCATTATCAGTACGAAGAGCCTTAACAACAGAGGAATATTGAACAGCCACCATCTAAAAGAAAGACCGAATAATTGTACTTACATCACTTTTATGTTTCAAAACATACAACCATGTCATACAAGTGCAATCATCAACAAACGTAACAAACTACTTAACTCCTGAAACAGTATTAACGGGCGAAGGCCCCTAAACGTCTAAATGCACAAGCTCAAACGGAAGCAATCTTTTATTCATACTAGGAGTAAAATGAAGCACGATGGCTCTTAGTAAGAATACATACTTCACAATGTAAGTTTGATTCTTTTATTTCATGAAACATACTAGGCAATATACACCTTAAATAACCAAAAGAAACATGTCCTAACCGACAATGTAACAACCAAACTTCGAGAGGCTCGAACTGCATTAGCTCTGCCAGGAACGACATCATCCATATAGTATAACCCCTTTCTCTTAGTGTCATGCTCAATTATCTCCTTGGTCTGAATATCCTGAAGTAAACAAAAAAATAGATACATAATTACAACACAATCCAATTGCTCAATAACTTGGGGAATAGATAATAAATGGTGAGACAATGACGGAACAAGCAAACCATGGTGTAGAGAAAGAGATGGCGTGAGGTCCACTGTGCCGGCCCTAGTCACCACAGTAGTGGTGCCATTTTCCGTGGCAACACATTTTTGATGTGTCGTTGTCATATACTTAAATAACATTTTATCAAGCATCATATGATCAGTTCCTCCAGAGTCCAGAATCCAACCTATATTGTGTTCAGAACTAGAGGCTAAAAGAACCTGCTTATCAGTACCTGTATTGGATGAGGACTTACTAGGATTGGGCTGGGTCAACAAGGCTTGACTTGGATCTCCTTGAGTAGGCATGACATCTTTCTTTCCAGTTGCTGCAGCGGCCATGGGTGGACACTTCCACTAGCTCCGTTAGCGGCCAGCTCTTTAGCACGCAATTTCTTCTTCAATTCCGAGAACCATTCAGGTACTCCATGTTTTAAAAAACATGTATCTTCCGTATGACGGGTTTTCCCACAAAAGGTACACTTCAAATCATCTTTATTTTCTCGAGTAAATGGGCGAGAATCAGTTGATGAAGATGGGCCATAGGGCCAGCTAGAAGAATGAGGTTGTGACACTATAGCCATAGGTGGGGTTCTTCCTTGGTTTCCAGCGGCACTACCTCCCATCATAGTAGCATGGCGTTGAGCTTCCTGCCTAACTACTAAAAACACTTTATCCACAGATGGTAGAGGCTGAGTTCTCAAAGTATCACTACAGACCTTGTCAAAAATATCATCAAGTCCCGCTAAAAAAGCATACACACGGTCTAGTTGAACTTCTTCTCGAAGTGTCTTCAAGTCAAGAGCACACTCCATCTTGT